AAAGGGGACTGTAGACATGCCACATGTCTGTTTCCTCATCACACGAATCATCACTGCTCGCAAGTGGCGTGGGCATGAGACCGTCCGTGCGCCACGCACGCCGGTCCAAGCTTTTGGCTAGATCAGCCACCACGTGCTCCATGAATACCAATGGTACCGATTCAGGCTCGGCTTGCGAGTCATCTGCCTTAGCTACAAAAACAAGGCCCATTCCCCGCCACAAGGCGCAGTTCCGCAGCTGTGCGCAGCATGGTTCCGCCCAGCCTCCCATGTCCTGAACATGTGCCGCATCAAATCCACTTGTTCCAGCTCACGCGAGCTCATGCCAATAGCCCACTGCGAGCCGTGCATGGCACGGCACGTTGTCGAATACCTATCAGGACGGCTAAGGACTGCAGCACGCTGAAACACAGCACAGTCACTGCTATTGCCAGCACTTCCGGAAACTCGGTTTCGTGGACAAGCGTCTGTCTGTACTGTTCCAAGTCCATGTCACGCAACCCGTACTCATGGCGTTTGTTATCCATGAGCTGCCGCATCTTGTTGATGCGATCCGTTCCCACATACCTGAGTCTACCAATGCAAATTGCGGGCAGAAGGGAAGTGAGAATGGGGTGACATGCGCATGGGAAGCGAAGCCCGCAGCATTGCCCCCGCTTTTTTCCTGCTTCTCAACTCAGCCGTGCTGGCGTGAGCTCTCTGGTTTGTCTGTCCACGTCGGCTTCGAGTGTCCTAAATATCCTAAAGCTTCGACTTCGAATGCTATGGCAGCTTCAGTTTCTGCTGCCCGGTCCTTGGATGGTGGACGCTAGACGTCTCACTCAACTCAGTACTGCGGATCTTTGATCCTTCATTTCGCGAAGACAACCGGTCTGACTGCTGAGACTAGAGATTACTGGCGTAGGCCTACGTAGGAGTGTACCCGTACTCTGTAGTCCCTATGGTGTACTCTACGCAAAATCTCGATCTGGATGAGGGACAGATGACAGAAGAGGGTGCCGCTGACGGAACGGTTGCCCCAGGCTCGAGCCACTGTCTACTTCTCAGACAGGAAGCTCAAAATGAGCAATTACGCAATTTGCCTGCACAGACGCGTCTGGCTTGGCACAGCCGCACACTCCCCACACTCAGAAGTCACAAGTCACAACCATAGTACTTACTTTCAATCATTGAATCATTGAGTTACTAGTTACTGGCAACTGGTGTGAATGCTGCTGCTGCTGGTACACCCAAAAAAAAAGCACAACTAGCTAGGGCTAGGGATGTCATGCTTACAGATACCTTGATACTGTGGAGAGAGGCAGGATTCCATTTCAGGGCTCACTTTGCGGCCCGTTTGCCGACTGCGCGTCGCGACGGTGAAGCAGCCGGTGACTTTGACGGCGGCGGCATGGTATCCTTCTCCTTCTGCTTCAGCTCCTCGATCCAAAGATGGGCACTGCTTGGCGCTCAAACTAGGGGACGTTTGCTGGAGCTGAATCCCGTGCCCATACCTTAAACTGCCGCCTATCAGGCCGCCTATCTCCTAAACCGAAACCTTGAAACGGAAAACCTAAATATTGGGAGACCCTAGGACCCTCGGCCTAGGCTCCGAAACCAAAACCCGCCTAACGCCTCGCTAAACCCTAGCCTACACGTGAACCTAAACCCTAAACTAAACCCCTGCCCGGCATGCAGCGTGCAGCGCAAGGGGAGGTCCTTCTGCAGCTTGTCGAGCTTTGCAGAGAAGACTCCCGGTGAATCTTTCTTGGAAAGGCTCAGGGTCTGGGACGCGAAGCGTGTGAAGCCTGTTACATCCTTCTGGAGCGTAGCAAGGGCTGAGCCGCCCCGAGGGCGAGACAACAATTCCGCTGCCATCACACTGTACACTGCTTGGCTTAGGGCGGGCTGGCTTGGGGGGTTTGCAAACACCATCTGCAGGCTATTGAGCTCGCTCTCTTGAATAATGTCCGTAAGGTCCGACCGCCGGCCTAGAAAAAGGCTTGCCAAGTCCTCTGCTTGCTTCATCAGCGAGACGCCTGAGGCAGCCCAGGGCACGCGGAACTTTGGGGGGAAAATCAAGTACACAGCCTAGACCCTCCTTCTACCCCTTATATAACTACTTATATTATATATACTTATATAATATAAATAAAAAATATATATATATATATTATAATATAACCTAAATAGGTACCCATAATTAAACGGTACAAGGAGGGTCCTAGAGTATGGTATCTCACGGTATCTCATACGTCTGCACGTCCGAGCAACCGTCCACAGCCGTATTCATGGCCCCCGTGTCCTTATCGTACTTAGCCACGATATCCTTGATGCCTTGCGGCAACGCTTCCGGCGGGCTGAGCTCCACCTGTTCCAAAGACATGAGGCGCTGCGCTTCTGCAGCATCCGCAAAGACGCCGGACACCTTGGCCTTGAGCTCCGTCAAGGTATTTTGCGCGTCAGCAATGGACAAGCTCGCGCTCTTTTTGAGCTGTTCAATCACGGCAGCCAATCCCTCAATGCCTTCGCCGTCTTCCGTGTTTGCAAACTTGGTCAAGTCGCCAACCGCGAGCAACCCATCAGACAGCAAATCCTTACTTGTCCACACCTCGGTTCGGAAGATGCTTGCCTCCGGGGTGTCGGGCCGCTGCTGAAAGTCCATGATGCGTTTCACTACGCGTACCTGGGCCTCCACTGAGGCCCCCAAGCGGGATAACTTGCCTGCGTCCAGCTTCACGACCGCCTCATGTTTGTCCGCGCGGAGGAGCGAGCGGAACCAACAGGGCGGCTCGCTTACGAAGTGGCGCGCCATCTCCTGCATCGCATCAGCCAAAGCAACCAGGCATCCAGCCACCTCATCCGATCCTCAACTGCTCGGACACGGTGATCAGTGATCAATGATCGCTATGATCTTGATTTGACCCTGAACCGGACTCGAACTCAACGTGGCCCTGGACCCTAGACCCCAACCATCACCGGAAAAAACGACCACGGCTGACAAGGCCACTCTTCTTCTGCACGAAGTCGACGAAGGACTTCAGGTCTTTGCTGCCACGCAAGCGTTGCACCCCCTCCGCTGCCTGCGCCAAGGGGGGGTTGGGGGGAGGGGGACAGGGACTCCATCTGCGTAGCAACATACCCGACACCCCCGTCTACAACACTGACAATGCTGGACTATATCACAAGCCAAACCACAGGACGCTACACGGAAGACAACCGTAAAACTGAACTTTAAAAGCCACATCCTTGTCGTATAGGGGTACCCTGACTGCTTCGTACCATTCGCCGAATTCTGCAGTTTAAAATTGATTTGTTTGACGTCTGAAACCCTTGTCCCCAAAACCCTAAACCCTAAACCCCTCTGCCTCTGA